GGCAGCAGCCCCTGGTTCCTGCTGTCACAGAGCCTGTCCTCCTCACCACAGCCCAGATGCCAGGCTGTCTGGGCCATCACAGCCCAGATACCAGGCTGTCTGGGCCACCACAGCCCGAGGGACCTCAGCCCTGCTGCAGAGTGGCTCTCGAGGACAGTGGGCTGTGCAGTGACGTCCCCTTGCAGGCTGCCAACCCTGCTAGCTTGAACAATGGAACAAAGAATAATGGGGAAAGAACAGTATTGTGCTGGATTCCCTTTGGCTTCATTAAAATTAGCGATGTCCTTGAGTTCTGGGTGCTCCAGAGCTCTCCTGGCTGTGCACAGAGCTCAGAGTGGCAGGATCCTGCCTGGCAGAGGATTCTCAGCACTTTTTCTCTGCCCCTGACTCCTGATGGGGAGGGTTTGCCAGTTCACAGAACCCCAGGATGGTTTGGCATGGATGGGACCTCAAAGTCACCTCATTCCACCCCTTTCCATGGGCAGGGACATCTCCCACCATCCCAGGGTGCTCCAAGCCCTGTCCAACCTGGCCTGGGACACTCCCAGGGATCCAGGAGCAGCCACAGCTGCTCTGGGCACCCTGTGCCAGGTCCTGCCCACCCTCCCAGCCAGCAATTCCTTTCTAACATCTAATCTAACCCTGCCCCCTGACAGTTCAAAACCATTCCCATTTGTCCTCCATGCCCATGTGAAAAGTCACTCTCCAAATATTTAGCCATTTTTTTAGCAGTCCAAAGGAAATGAGAGAAAACTGATTTTTATTATTCCCCATGGAGCAGCAACTTGCTCTATTCCCTAGTTTACTTTTACCTCCTTGGAAACAAACACTATTTACTCCAGATGCTCCCACCAGTGGCTGGGTCCTCATGGGACCTCCTTCACCTTCCCTGGAATATGCAGAGTTTCCACAGAGAAAGATCCTTTTGTAAATTATGTGCACTGAACTAAACTATTTAGCAGTTCATTCCCCCAGGTAGCCAGTGACCACTGTATGTCTATCTACTTAATTTGACAATTAACCTTTGGAAAGCTGGTAGTCATTTTAGATTAACTTTTTTTGCCTTAAAAATCTGTAAGCAACTTCCTTCTGGTAAATTTTTTTCTTTTTATTTGTTTTGTTTTTTCCACATATTTCCAGAGGTCATCTTGTCTACTAAATTTGTTCATCCTTTTCGATGCATCACTTTGGAAATCAGAAGTGGAGGGAGGAGGGAGACTTGCTAAGAAATTGGAAAACATTTTACATTTTTTAAGTAGGTAAGATTAAGTGCTTGTGCCATAGTTTGCAATTATAATAAAATAAATCTAGAAACTATTTCATGTATGAGAGCATGTGCATTAGAAAACATATTTCTGTAACAGATAACCATCTTCTGAACACTAGAATGTTGGTAATTTGTCAGTTTTTCTTTTAATTAAAACTGTGTATATAGTTCATGCTCTGTTTGATTCAGTGTCAACATTTTGGATGGGGGCTAAAACTGATTTCCTCTTAAATCTTTGCATTTCTCAGGACAACTGATGAAGTGTGCCTTAACATTAAGCTCATGAACCCATGAGGTTTTGCCTGTTTCAAGATCAGTAAATCAAGAGATATTAGAGAAACAGCCCCAATAAGACTCAAGACTTCTAACGCTTCTGTAAATGCTCTCTTTACCAAAACTGCATCCATTTTTCCTCTCAGACAACCTGTTTTAATTCATTGCATCATTACCAAGCTGGTCCACTGTAAAATGAATTAAAATTATGCTAGTTAGGAATCCAACTCTGAATATTTTTCTCAATGCAACCCACAAAGCATTTAAAGTGTTTAATTTTTTTTTTTTTTTTTTTTAACAACTGAAAAATCTGCCTGGTGTGTCTCTAAATAATTTTAAAATATATTTTCATTTTTTAAAATTTTCAGTCTTCTTTTCTGAAAATACAAAAACTTGCATGGTCTGGGTTGGAATGGACCTTAAAAATCTTCCAGTTCCAACCCCCTGCCATGGGCAGGGACATTTTCCAGTGGACTAGGTTGCTCCAAGCCCTGTCCAACCTGGCCTTGGACACTTCCAGGGATCCAGGGGCAGCCACAGCTTCTCTGAGCACCCTGTGCCAGGGCCTGCCCACCCTCACAGGGAAACATTTTTTCTGTACATCCAACCCAAATCTCTCCTCTTTCAGTTTGAACCCAGCACTCCCTGTCCTGTCACTACATTCCTGATGAAGATTCCCAGGTCTGGGTGAGTTTGGAAGCACAGCCCTCCTGACTGTCATGCCCAGAGTGGAAATAACCACCACATTACTTAAAAACACACACATTTAGCTCCAAGCCCCAGTTCCTCCTACCTTGCCTACTTTAATAAATACTCATGGCACTCAATAAAATTAAAACATCAGTGAACAAAACAGATCCATATGAATTTTCCCCCAGGGATTAGGAATGGAGAGGAAGCACATCTGGTACAGGAGAGTTGTGTTTCTAACTGTGCTCAACTGCCCCGCTGATAGGTGAGCACGGTGATAATCTCATTTATCTGTAACGTACCTGAATGTTTCTTGGATCAAAGCCTGGGGAAGGCAAAAGAAAAGACTGAAAATGGAGAAAGCCCACTCAAAAAAATATGGCAACTTCCAGATGTAATCACCATGGCAGTGAGGTGCTTGATTCCCTGGGAATTAGCTCAAGACAAACACGGTGAGAATTACTCTGGAGAGGATGTGAGGAAACGCACACCATGAGAAAGAGGAGCAGATGCATCTTTGGAGCTCAGTATTCCTCATTCCTCTAACTTCACATGCCCTTTACACAGCCTTCTACTAATTTTTCTACACTGATAATCTATAGAACCTAATTACACAAAGTCTAAAAAAGCTCCTTCTACGAAAGGCATAATGCTGATATCTGAGTCACGAGCACAGTTAATGTAATCTAACACATATTGCGGGAACCTACTGCACACAGATATTACCAATTAGCACATGATTTTAACAATCAACATTCATGCAATTAATAGAACACTTCATATTCCTTCTAATTTTGAGCTCTGCATGAGCATATGTTATCATGACGGAATGTGGGATCATTTATTTATACTGGAAGCAAGGCACCACATAGAAATCAGAGATGCTGAAAGTTAGCCTGAAAGTGAAACAGGCTCAGCTTTGCATTGAGGAAAGAATATTATTAGCCTGACTTCTAAAAGCTGAACCTTTACCTTACCTTCTTGTTGATCCTTGCTGTTGGTGAACGCCTGGAGGGGAATCTGTATCCAGATTACAGCTGGGGAATACAACAATATGTTCATCAACAAGCACTTCTCTCTAAAATTGAAAACTGTAATGTAATCATCACTCAAATAAAAGTAAATACTTATGTCTTGCTTAGATATTTATATATATATATTCAAAGATAACAATAGACACCTTGTTTTCCATAACATTTGTATTATTTTTCTTTACTGGGAATGGGAAAGAATCACTGCACTTATAGGACAGATGAAGGGTTGAGGCACACAGAGATTAAGCCCAGATCCCCACAGCATTTAGCCAGTCACTTACTTTGAATTCCATAGGATTTAGGCATTTGATACCTTTAGGATCCAGTCCTGTCTATTTTTCTGGCAGCAGAGGAAGCAGGGAACCAAATTTCTGTTTCCCACAGAGATTGCCAGCCTACCCTACCTGTCCCTCTCTCTCTCCTTCCTCCTTGGTGCTGGCATCAGTAAGAAGCAACGAAACCTTACTTTAATTACTGGAGTCCTAGATGTGTTACTGGCTCATTAAGAAGAGATGCTCAGTAAAGAAGGAGTTTTTTGCATGTAGACTGCAGGGACTTACACTTCACTGCTGCAGTGGCTGGAGCTGCCACATTCCCTGTCTGGCTCTGAGAAGGAGAATGTCAAAACATGGGGACTGTGTGTGCCTTCACCCCAGAACCTCTTCACATCTCCAGCTGCCTGGCTACAGAGATGTCCCTCACATGGTTCCTGCCACTGAAAACATTCCAGCAGGCTTTCTCAGCCAAACACAGCCTTCAGGAGCTCCTCCTGGCACCTTGGGGACACACACCTGCCATACCAGCATCCCACCACACCGACCTTCCCTTCAGTTCAGGGAGATCTCTCCTCTGATCCTGCCCTCAATACATTTTGGAGGATGTGACAGGAGTTGCTGTCACCAGGGAGTCCCTTTCCCCCTGCACTGGAAGGTGGTGGCTGTTCCCTCTTTGCCTTTCCAGGGGATTGGGAGCAGCATTAGGTTCCCCTGGGATTCTGCTCTGGGGAGAGCTCTAAGCCCAGTCTGGGGAGGCTGCTGGTGCAGGGAATTCTCTCCAGCAGCAGGTACCAAAGCAGCTCAGAATGCAGATGTAGACTATAAATCAACACCTTTCTCTCCTTCAGGAAAATCTCCTGGGAGAATTCAGTTTACCACACATCTGATGTGTATTTATGAACAGGAGAAATGCAGCCATTCTCTGGGTATAACTGTACTTCTGAAAAATGTCAGGAGAGGGTTTATATCTCCCATTGCTGTCTCCCCCATTGAGGGAGCCTCCACAGAAACATCACTTTTTGGGCTGCTGCTGTTTGAAACAAGGACAGATTACAGCAATCTACAGGTTGATAAAGAAAAGAGAGGTTTCACTTGTGACTGCATGTTTATTTCAAGGGCTCTCCAACCCAGTAATGGTGAAAAAAGGTGGTGAAACCTCTCTGGTTGTGCTATATCCACACCTGGAAATAAAGGTGCAGTTCACTCAGATTTCTGTGATGACCAGGGGAGATGAACAGCCATAGACAAATGAGAGGGGGGAAAAAAGGAAGGTCTCAAATTCAGTTTGTCTGAGGTAACTTCAGTGGAGGTAACAGAGCAACATGAGTGTCACTGACAGGGAGGTAAACTGAGCATAATTGTCTTTACACAGAGAAAATACATTAGCAGCGGCCTTCCTGCCAAAAAGAAATCAAGAGATACTTTTTTCCACCAATACTTTCAGTAAACTTCCAATTTTCTTAACCATTATTTTTATTGAAGGCTTTACTGCACAAAGAATCCAGGGGGAACAGGAAATCACATCATGGTGCAGGTTGGGGAATTCTCTAAAAATACGTAACCATGGCACCCTTGTCATTACCAATCAAGTGTTCTTGATAAAAAGTAAAGTAATTAGCCTTTGAGAGGAGCATAAAGCTAATTAAAAATGACAACTTAGTCATCTCAACAAACAACAGCACAGAACCAGTCCAGAGTTCTAACTATAGCACAACGTGATAACCTGACCTGCCACAACCACTTGCCTTCAACCCCTTAGCAGAAAACAGTCTGTGAGAGTGAAACTTTGATAACCTCTCCCTTCATTGTAAAATTTAGGTTCACCTCATCCACCATCCAATATTTCTGTTTGTTCTCTGAGTTTCTTCGTCTTTTTCTAAGGCAGTTTTGCCCAGCTATCAGAATTTTTTCCAAGTGAAATGATGGAAATTCTTGTAGTCTCCTGAAAGGAGATGACAAAATGTGAAGCATGAACATATGCATTGTCAAAAAAATTCACAAGTTGCAAATGAGTTTAGTCTCATAACAAAGTTGCTTGCTCAGAATTTATAAATAATAACCAGAAACAAAAAGAAACCACTGGTCTCTCACTTACAGAACAACTGGGGTTCTGTCCTCTCACAGGTGGTAATGACAAGGTTTTAATCTAGTTCTGTGGAGCGAGAATGAATATTTCTTCTTTTCTCAGCCTACAAAAACCCTTGAGGAGGACACATTATCAGAAGAATATACAATTACCACCATTTTTCTTATCAAGTGTATTTACTCATGTTGCAGGTACTGAAGGAAACAAGTTGCTGCATTTTCATGGAATCCTAGAATGACTTGGGCTGGAAGGAACCATGAAGATCATCCAGTTCCACCCCCTGCTGTGGGCAGGGACAACTTCCACCATCCCAAGGTGCTCCAAGCCCCATCCAACCTGGCCTTGGGCACTGCCAGGGATCCAGGGGCAGCCACAGCTTCTCTGGGCACCCTGTGCCAGGGCCTGCCCACCCTCAGAGGGAAGGATTTCTTCCCCATATCCCATCCATCCCTGCCCTCTGGCACTGGGAGCCATTCCCTGGCTCCTGTCCCTCCATTCCTTGTCCCCAGTCCCTCTCCAGCTCTCCTGGAGCCCCTTCAGTCCCTGCTTTTAAATCTTTCTCTTTTCAAATTGCCAGATTCTACTAAATATTTCCTAACATAAACACATATATATATATTATATACATATATATAATTAAATACATTAACTGCAGCCAGCAACCATCCTTAAAGCTGAGAGCTCATTTTCTTTAAGAATTGGAGCTCTGCAATCACAAAATCATTAAGGTTAGAAGCAACATCTGAGCTCATCAAGTCCAACCATTACCCTAACAGTGCCCTAACCTAAGGTGTATGCACACAACAAAGTCTCCACAAAGTTTTGGCACAGCTCCTGAGCTCATACTCACAGGATTAGATCAAAAAAGGATAAATCAGTGCTGTGATGGGCCAAGCCATCACTGGCTCCTCAACAGGTCCTGCTGAGTGATGCTGATGCCTCATCACGCTGACAGACTTTCCTCAAGCACGCAGGAAATACAGATTTGATCCTCAAAACAAGGATTGACTGGAACAGGAAAAGAGGTAGAAGAGATTATGGTTAGGTTTTGAGTATCCCACACTAATCTTTCGCTGTAGTTTCAGTTCCTGCTTGCTGGGAAGGTCAGAACAGTGACTCAGAGAAGGCCTGAGGCTGCTGAGATGTAACACATCGGAAGCACCCCATGAAACAGAGTGATTGCAATGCAATGCAAGAAGTGAAAACTTAAGCTCCTTTGACTTACAGTATATATGAATATATGAGAGGGTAAAATACTTACAGATGTGTATCTAGACCAAATAAAAAGGCCTTGTAGAGATGGGGAAATCTGTATCTTGCGCTGCGCTGCTTGCAGTCCTAGGAAAGCTTGAAACAGAAATAAAATGTTTGCTTATATTCTGAATAAACGCCGGATGAAAAGAAATTCTGAGCAGTGAACTAGACAAAGACCTTGATCCTGCTGTGTAATGCTTGTAAGACACAGCTCAGGAAGGCCAGCTCTGGCTTAGGAAGGAGAGACTCCCTAAGCCTCCTCCAGAGCCGGTGGAGAGAGGGATCATCCATCCCCGGCTGGAGAAGGGAGGCATTGCTCCATTCCAGCCCATGGAAGCAGACCAACACACACAGGCTGAACATCTTAGGCTGGGATCCCAAATCTACAGATCTGCACCTCTTAATAATTATTCACACGCCAAACGTAACAACGCTGGACAACCTTCCTGAGCCCTGTTTTACAAGCTGTTCATTGAAAACATTTTCGGGGTCAATTCTTTCCTCCAGCTCAGTTCTGTATCGTGAATTCTGTGCAATTTTGGGGATTCAAGTTTGCTTTTTCAATTCTTTGAAGTGTTTTCTCAAGCATGTTTGCAAAGACTTGTGTCTAGAAAAGTTTTAAAGGCCCTAAAGGAAATGCAGTTTCTTTTCAAACGCCTACAGGACAGGCAGGTGTTCTGGTCTCAGACTCTTACATGTTATAGGACATAAGGGAAGATAAGAGAAGTGCTGCTTTTCTCTTCCTTTTTCTGCTTTCCCCAAGCAAAAATTAAAGTTTTACAGGGATGAGGTAGTAATCCACAGCACCTGCAAGGAGCAAGCATCTACTTGATCTTTTGATATGGTGTTTCCTTGTGTAGGGGTGGTGGAGATGAAAATGAGGTATTTTTCTTGTTAGGAAAGGAGGAAAGAGGGAAATCTCTACTTATTCTTGTACCTCTCCTTAGACCTGCAGGCTCTAAGCTCAATTCCAAGTTTAACCTGGAGAAAGAAATGGAAAAAATACTCTGCAAGCAACAGGGCTCTGTTGGCAGCAGAGTGGATTCAGTGATCTAATAGTTCTGATCCAGCTCTGATTTCTTTGATACTATTTATAAAAAAGGGAAGAGAAATGATGGACCACTCCAAACAAATTGTTACCATAAACCAACAGCAGACATCAGAATTGGCCCTTTAAGAGTGGTGTGGAGAGAGGGAGAGGACTAAAAACGTACCTTTCCTGGTCCTGGGCTATGTTTATCTCCCATATTTATTTAAAAGCAAATCAAAATACTTTTAAGCAAGTCGGCTGGTTCCAAATTTAGGAACAATTGAACAAAGAGGAATCTGCTAATTCCAGATGGAGTGCATATAGTCCCTTGGCACTTATTACTTACCAAATGTTTCAGAAAGCAAACACATGACCTAAAAGATTTCGTGAGTGTGGGGTCCTCAAAAAGCTTTTAACAAGTCATGTATTTCCAACCGTATTTACTTTACCCACACACAAAACCCCTACTTCATTTTCCTTGAGCTTTTTTTTGGGTTTTTTCAGGCAGACAATGCTGCCTTTAAAGACTATTTATGGATGATTCAGTTATCCCATAAGGGCAGGAGCTCTAAAGGTGTCTCCTTTGAAAGGCTTCAGCTGTGGAGCATCTGCTGCCTGCCAGGGCCACCTTCCCCGGCAGGCGCAGGTGTTTTGCTAAAGTTGGATGAGCCCTGCAGGAAATGGGCACCCACAGATGGTTTCTCATCTCAAAGAGACGCAAAATGCTTCTCTTGTTGTGGGTTTTTTGTTTCTTTTTTTTCTTTTAAACCTGCTCCTTTGCACACCAAAGTTGTCCTCCTGCAGGGGAATGCCAAGCCACCATGATGACAAGCCTTGGGGAACGTTAATTGAGATTATTTTTTTTATATTTTTATATTTTTTTATATTTTTTTATATTCGTTGCTGAGGTGTTTTAAATTAATTTCATAGGAAAATGAGTCTAAATAATGCAACTTGGAATTTTTTTAGGGAGTGTACTATTTGTTATTATAATTGTTTCCTCCCTGAATTAAATACTTCAGGGGAAGAATAAAGTAGAAATTCTTGATTTTTGAGGCAGTTTGATGAAAGTCAGTGATTTTTCACCGGCTCCCCCACCCCAGGAGAGGTGGCAGTGATATTTCCATCTGTGTCTGTCCAAAGCCCCTGGAGCCAGCAGCTTGTGTAGGTCCTTGTAGGCAAAAATCCCACCTGGGTGACTGCTTTAGGGGATCTTCATTGAACCCCATCAGTCTGAGAGGGTAAAAACATCTCACTTTTGTTCTAGGTGACAATTTTCATGACACAAACTACAAAAACTTCAAGATTTCTGCTGTTTATACTTTTCTGCTGAAGGGATTAACCCGGTCCTGCAAGAGGGGCAAAATCAAAGACAGCAGAGAAAAATAAGCATTTAATTCTCAACTGAGGTAATTTTTTTTTCAGTTTTTGCTTCCAACATTTTAACATGGTCTTTTTTAGAAGTAAAGTCCCTTCCATGGTTCTCAAAGGAAAAGAATCTAAAGGCAATGAGTTGTGACTAAGACATTGAAAAGAGAAATAACTTCTCCTGCTAATATAAACAGGTAGATGTAATTTAGTCTTGAGTTTTTGATGAGTTATACCTCTTCCCTTTAAGCTTTTTAATATTTATTTTTTCCCTCTAGCTCTTATTTTAATAACCTTCCTTCCAGTTATGCTTCAAACCTTTCCTTTGGGCTTCCATCGTTGTCATTCTTTCATAGCCACAGACTCAGCCCAGAAAGAAACCGAGGGCAAACATTGTTATTCTGATTTGAGTATCTACAAGGTGAAATTTATCTGCTGACAAAGACTCTCTTTGTTCAGTAACTCTTCTCTAACTCTGTGCAGTGTGATAGTCCCTCAAGTTTTCCTACTGCCGGCATTTCCCTGCAAATCCTTAAGCTGCACCAGCAAACTCAGCCCAACACGTTATTTTACATTTTTAACTGAAATGCTTTTTGTTTTTATTTTAATGAATCCCCTAACTCCAAGTTTAATTAAACTCATGTTTTTTAATTAATTACCAACAAATGCAAATAAGGCAAACTACACAAACATGTATTCACCGTTCCCCGATAGATACGTGGGTGGGTTTTTTTTAATCCTTAAGTGTCAGGATTTAAAAATCTCAAAGTCTTGAGGGTTACAACCCAAAAATTCTTTTCATTTGGGGCTTTATGAGAATATTTTAGTAGTGTATGACAGGGAGCTCGTCTGCTTAAGGGAGGAGAAAGCAAACTGCAGGTTTTTTAGCTTTTACCCACTTTACTCTTGCTAAACAACTGTGACAATCAGCAGATTTAAGCCTGTGCATATATTATTATGAGAAAAAAAAAATGTAGAACACAAGAATTTAATAAAATTACAGTTATGTTCAACTTCCCTAAATACTGAGAAATGTGGATTCGTGAAATGCTCTCTTTGGTTATTTAAGTGCAGCTAAACAAGAAATCCTAAATGAAACACAGAAGAGTTCAAGCATCAAACTCAAACGCTCAAAGCTCAGGAACCCAAATTTAAGACATGTAATATAATCATGCTTAAAAAGGAGAAACTCTCTCCTGTGAGGACAATACACAGTTGAATTTCTTTTTTTAACTGCATAAGTATTATTCTTAGGAGCAAATATTTCAAGATCTCATGAAATATTACTCTGAAGAGTTGCTTAGAAATTTCTTAGCTTCTCTGATCACTTTTTTCAGCCTAAACTCTGGCAAAGCAGCCTTTCCCTAATATGTGGGATTATTTAAATCATTAAAGCAGGCAGGAATATTTGTTTCTCATCCCTTCCTGGGCTTGACATGGATGAATTTGGCTGTGTCCACATGTCTAGTTCAGCTCGATCTCACAGTCCCAGCATGACCTGAATCCACACACACAGAGATCTCGAGTTTGCTTAAAGCCTGAGAGCAGTGCTTGAGCTCTGGCCCTCCTGGATCCCAGCCCGGAGTCCTGTCCCTCTACACCCTGGACATGAAGTAAAGCCAGCACTGGAGTGCTCAGCAAGTTCCCTGGACAATGTATTTTCCCATCAGTCAGAAGGTAAGGGCTGTTTTTCCTACTTGGCAAAGGGTTTTCTTATTTGCAGCAACACTACACACCTTTGGGAAACATATTCTGTGAGTGTTTGCAAACATTCCTGTTTCCACTTCTTTTTATAGTCATTTTTAGGTTATATTTCAAGATTTATACATTTCTATATTTATATATTTTCATAATTTTTTTGTATTTTTTATACACATACACAACTCTCTGTGTACACATCCATAGAACCTCTTCTACTTCTCCCCATCCAAAATAGAAGGCAGATTTCTCTATCATTCACCACGTGCTGGAAAGAAGAGATTAAAGAACTGACACCAAACTTCCTTTACCTCTATAAAGAGGTTTTCTGCCCTCTAAGATGCAAAATGTGAATGCACAAATTTGTGCTGCCTCTTTTCCCACCAAAAGGGCAAATAAACAACTTAAAAGGGAAATTAGCAGCCTTGAGACCTGCCTATATAGATGAATTTTGGGCTGTTATAGATAAATTTCTGGGGTGGGAGTTTTTCCAGCTCCTTGTCCCTCCATTTTCCCAGATGAAAAATGGGAATAAGCCACCCCTAATGATCTTATGCAAAAATTTAATTATGTTTAGCTTATCTAATTGATGTATTTTGAGGAGCTTGGCTAAAAGATGTCATATGTGCAAAGCTATTTGTTGTGTTTAAAGATATTTGTGCTCCCGTCCTTGGGAAAATTCCTCACGTTCCCTGTCCTGCTGCACTTAGCAATGATCCGATCTTGATTGTGTTCCAGCTACCCAGTGTCAGAAACAATCAGGAATAGGCAAGATAAAGCACAAGAGTGCTCTGAGGAAGGCTGTGAATCCAGTGGCTCCTCCTTCCCCTCCTTGTCCAGTCTAAACACATGCAATACTTTGGAAATATTAATAAATAATTAAACCAGCAGGGCAATGTCCACTCGTCTCCTGAACAGCTCCTGTAACACGATAGTCCTTAGGCAGCCATGCAAGATTTATCATCACAACCTCAATGCTTGAGAAAGCCCTTAAAATAT